ATAGCCAATCGACTCGGACTTGACCGAGCTAGAGAATTTCAAAGTCTGGTCGGGAAGTCCCAAACCAGTGGTTGATTTCCACACAGGCGCCCACGACGGCGGGAACGCCTCGTCCTCGACGAGCTCGGCGACGGCCGCGCCGTCGGCCCGGCGCACGGCGTCGCGGAGCATGCGCTGGGCGTAGGCCGCGTGCGCGGCGGCGTCGCCGGCGCGCGCCAGGGCCGCGCGCGGCAGCCTCGCGAGCCGCCGCGGCGCGCCGCCGCCGAGCGCCAGCTCGAGCTTCGCGCCGTCGAACGCGCCGCCGCCGGGCAGGGCGGCCGTCGCGCCCTTGGGTGCGCCGTCGACGGCGAGCGCGACGTCCCGCGGCAGCGGGATGCGCCGCCGGCGGCCCCAGTGGTCCACGCGGCTGCTCTCGACGAGCCAGAGGTGCGCCGTCGTCTCCGCGTGCTCCGCGCCGTCGCCCGCGGCGAGCTCCCCCCGCGCGTGGACCAGGCCCTGCTGGAGGTGGAGGAAGGCCTCGAGCCGCCCCTGGCACTGCTTGCCCTCGAGGTCCGGCGGGCTCGGCACGGTCTCGAGCGCCTCCTGCACGGCGAGGAGCGCGTCGCGCCGGCCCGACGGGTAGTCGGCGTCGGCCGCGAGGCACGCCGCGGCCCGGAGGAAGAGGCGCAGGGCCAGCGCGGAGACGCAGCCGCCGTCGGCGACGGCCGCGGCGCAGCCGCCGAAGCGCGAGCCGAGCAGCCGCCGCTCGACGTCCTCGACGCGCGAGTCGCCGCCGTCCGACCCCAGCGTCCGCGACGAGCCGCGGACCTCGAGGCCGTCGAAGCCCATGGCCGCCGACACGGGCGGCCCGAGGGGCGGCAACGGCGCGTGCGCGAGCGCCGCGCCGAGGACCGTACCGCCCCGGCCGAGCGCGGCGGCCTCCGCGGCCGCGGCCGCCGCGACGCGCCGCAGCAGCCGGCCCAGGCGCAGGAGCGAGAACGCGGCGCGCGCGCGCCAGCCGTCGCCGCGGCCGCAGCGGTCCCGGCACTCGCCGAGGAGCGTTGAGACGGACCGCGCGAGCGAGTACGCGGCCTGCTTCGCGAGCTTCGTCGCCCGGGACCGCGCGAGGGGCGCGGGCCCGACGCGCGCGAAGCAGAGCAGCGCCCCGGCGAAGGACTCGGCCTCGAAGCCGCGCGCGAGCGTGTTGCCCAGGTTGATGAGCGACGCGTCGCGGTACGACATCTTCCGCGCGGGCGACCGCCCGCTCGCGGGCCGCCGCGCGGGCGACGGCTCCTCCGAGGTCGCCGGCGGCGGCGGCTCGACGTCGTCGTCGTCGCCGTGGTCGCTTTCTTCGTCCGAGAGCTCGTCGGCGGCCTCGCCCCGGAGCATCTCCACAACCGCGCCGCCGTGCGCCGGCCGGTCCCGGGGCGCCGCCGCGAGGCAGGCCCGGAGCACGCGCCGGACGATCTTCGGCAGGGGATACGGCGCGAGGGCCGAGCGGAAGACGGCCCGGAGCTTCGCCGCGGCGACGTGCCGCAGGCCGCCGCGCCGCGCGAAGACGCGCGCCGACTCCTCGAACGGCGGGAGGCAGCTCTTGAGGATCGCGTCGCCGTCGAGCGACGCGCCGCGGCGCACGGCCGTGGACAGCTGCGCGAGGCCCTCGCCGTCGACGACCCGGGGCGGGGCCCAGGCCTTCTCCCGCGGCGACCCCTCGCGCGCCTTCGCCGCGCCGGCCGCGCCGTCGAGGAAGCCGCACGCGTCCTCCCAGGTCCAGGCCGCGACCGCCTCCGGCGCCAGCGGCCGCTTCAGGAAGTTCTCGAGCGCGGCGCCCCCCAGCTCGCCGCGGCCGTGGTCCCAGGGCTCGAGGTCGCCGACGGGCCCGCCCCAGATCTGCAGGCACGTGAGCGCCGCGGCCCACAGATCCGTCGTCGCCGCGGACGCCGGGTGCGCCCGCTTCAGGGCGCCGTAGCGCAGCGGGTTCCGCGTCGCCTTGAGCGCCTCGAGCAGCCTCGCCGTCTCGGGGCTCGCGTAGGTCCGCGTGCAACCCGTGAGCTCCGCGCGCGGCTCCGCGGCGCGCGCCGTCCCCGCGGTCCAGGGCGTCGTGCCCTCGGCGACGGCCGCGAGGCCAAAGTCCGCGAGGCGCAGCTGCGCCGCGCCGTCGATCAGGACGTTCTCGGGCTTGACGTCGCAGTGGAGCACGCCGGCGCCGTGGCAGTGCGCGAGCGCCGCGAAGAGCTGCGCCGTCAGCCGCTTCGCGACGTTGACGACGTCCGCGCGCGGCCGCTTGTAGAGCGCGCCGCGGCTGTCGGACCGGTCCGCGCGCGCCGACGAGAGGAGGACGGCCAGCGTCGCGCCGTCGACGAAGTCGCTGAACACCTACCGAGCGCGACGGTGACGATTGCTCATCGTTTTCCCGCACAACATCTCTCGAACATCGTCACAGGACGCTGCGGCACACCAAGAGCTCCGTCGGGCTCCGCGGGTCGGGCGTGAGGAAGCGTAACGCCGCGACGCGCCGGTGCGGGGGCACGCAGAGCGCCACCGCCGCCTCGTTGCAGAGGTCCAGTTCGAGCTTCGCCCGCCGCTCGAGGGCCGACCCGGACCGCTCGCCCGTCTCCGCGCCGCCGAGGCGGATCGCCTTCATGGCCCAGGACCGCCCGCGGACGTCGACGCGGTAGACGTCCCCAAAGGCGCCGCTCCCGACGAACGCGACGACCGTCGCCTTGGCCAGCGGGATCGTGTCGCCCTTCTGGAAGCGCAGGGCCTCGCGGGGCCGCGACGGGCCCTGGACGTCGTTCGCGACCATGGACCGGAGCGCGGACGCGCCGCCGCGCCCCGCCGCGTAGCGCACGCTCAGCGACTCCGCGCCGCCAGAGCCGCTCCCGCGCGGCGACGCCGCCGGCGGCGGCGACGCGGCGCCGCCGTCGCCGGCGCGCCGCGCGCCGAGGCCCAGGTCCCGCGCGGCGTCGCGCACGGCGCGCATCCTCGACGGGTCGAGCGGCCGGCCCTCGAGCGACGACGACAGGTCCAGCAGCCGCCGCGCGGGCTGCTCGAGCGGCCGGCCCTCGAGCGACGACGACAGGTCCAGCAGCCGCCGCGCGGGCTGCTCCAGCGCCCGGCCCTCGAGCGACGACGACAGCTCCTGCAGCCGCCGGGCCGCGCTCTCGCGGCCCGCGGCCGCCGCCGCGTCACCGCTGGCGCGCTTCGCCGCGACCTGCGCCGCCGGCTGCCCCTCGGCGACGGCCCGGAGCACCTCGAGCGGCGGCGCTTCCACGGACGACCCGTGGCCCATTGTCCTAGTGGCGCGCGTCCATGCCGCGACGGCTCATCAACCATTCCATGCCGCTACGGGTCATATCAGAGCAATCATTCCATGCCCTTCTCGGCACCTTCCTTCGCCCCCGCTCAACGAGTCGTCACCGTCGACCCGCTCAGACCACTTCTACCCGCCCCGGTATTAAAAAACGCGCCCGGCCGCTAGTAGGTGCGGTTGCAGTCCGTGAGCTTGAGGCCGTCGCGGTAGTTGGCCTTGGTGATGGGCGCGTAGATGCGGCCCGGCTTGTCCCAGTAGCCGCGCGTCGCCTTGCGGACGACGACCTTGATCTTCTTCTTCTTCGGGTAGACCTTGACCTTGCACTCCTCGGGGACGATGTCGCCGTGGGTCTTGAAGCAGAAGGTCCAGGACCGCGCGCCGGCGCGGTGCTCGAGCAGATCCGCGCGGATCTCGAGCGAGCAGCGCGTGAACGTCGACGTCGTGCCCGCGCGGCTGAGGCCGTCGCCGGGGATGACGTCGTAGCGGAACTCGGCCTCGTCCATGCCGTCGATGAAGGCGTACTTGGACACGTAGAGGTGCCACGAGCCGATGGGCGGGTTCGCCTTGATCTCCTCGTCGAACTGCTCCGGCGCGACCATGGCGCTGTAGACGTCCTGGAAGTCGTCCATGTCGCACTCGCAGGCCTTGAAGAGGCCGACGCCCGCCTTCTTCTGGTCCTCCGTCTCCGCGAGGTCCCAGAGCTTGAGCTCCAGATGCTTCGGGATCCGCGGCTCCTGCTTGTCGCCGCTGTAGAGGCCCGTCGCGTCGCTGTAGCGCTCGAAGCCCTCGAGCTCCGCGTTGTACTCCGGCTCGAGCTCCTCGGCCTCCCTCACCACGAGGTCGTTGAGCTCCGCGTCGAGGTCGCGCTCGCCCGGCGGCGGGCTGCCCGACCGGCCGCCGCGCTCGCCCGGCGGCGGGCTCCCGCCGCGGCCCCGCGCGAGCTGGTTGGACCCGCGGCCCCGCGTCGGCGCGTCGTACTCGTCGATCTCCTCGATGATGGGCAGCTCCTCGTCGTCGCTCTCGTAGTCGCGCGGGTCCGCCTCGAGCGGCGACCGGTCGCTCACGCCGTAGAGCGAGTCGTGGCTGTCGATGGGGTGGCGCTCCTTCTTGAAGATGGGGTTGTTGTTCGCCTCGCGCGTCGCCTCGCGCGCGACGGCGTCGTCGCTGAAGCCCGGGACCTGGGTCCCGCCGCCGCCGCCGTGGCCGTAGAAGTCGCCGCCGCCGCCGCGGGCGTAGTTCGAGTCGCCGCGGAAGCCGCCGGGCTTGACGCTGTTCCCGCCGCGGAACTGCTCCTGGGCCGCCCGGAAGGCGTCGTCCGCCGACCCGTAGGCCGACGCGTTGAACATGTTCATGTTGTCCATGGCCGACATGCTAGACGACTTGTGGGACGGCTCCGGAGAGCGTCTCCGGCGGCCAAGAGGTCGAAGGTGCTCGCCAACATGATCTCAACATGCTGTGGTAATCGAGCATGGCCGCTCCCTACTGAGGTTTTGAGCGCCGATTCTCGTCGCTTCGAGCGCTCGCAGCGTCGCGCTGAACGGTGCGCCTCGCGCGCCAGCGATAGAGGCTAATCTGTTCGCTTCGAGCGCTCGCAACATCGCGCTGAACGGCGCGCCTCGCGACACTCCCATGCAGCGCCTCGCGCGCTACGCGCGAGGCGCCGTCGAGCTGCACATCACGCCCTGCGTCGTGACCATGCCGCCGGCCTGCGACCGCCTGTGCGTGCCGTCGAACGAGCGGCTCGTGGGCACGCAGTTCGCGCACTTCCCCGTGGGCGGGCCGACGCCCGTCGCGGAGCGGATCGGCGAGGCCGCGCTGCCCGACCGCTACCGCGAGGCGAGCCGCATGCTCTACCAGTGCGAGTCCGTCGACGGCGCCGTGACGGAGTTCGGCGGCGCCGCGCAGGAGGCCGCGACGCTCGCGCACGCGCCCGTCGTCGGCGGCACGGAGGCCCACCCGGTGAGATGCCCGACGGGCGCCGCGGTGCTGGTCCCGAGCGCGGGCGCCTTCGCGCGCGTCTTCCGCCGCGGCCTCGTGCTCGCCGTGCCGCCGTTCTGGCCCGGCGCGCCGACGGACGCCTGGCGCCGCGACCTCGGCGCCGCGTACGGGAGCGCGTTCGACCTCGGCTGCGACGGCGGCGCCGCGCTCGCGACGCCGCTCATGGGCGCGGGCGCGCGCGGCGCGCCGCTCGTCGACGCCGCGGACGCCGCCGCGGACGCCGCGGCCGCGTTCGTCGAGCACGGCGCGAGGACGTCCGACGCGCGCGTCCTGTTCGCCGTGCTCGACGACGACGTCGCGGACGTCCTCGACGCGGCGCTGTCCCGCGCGCTGCGACGACGGTAAGCTCCGTGCTTTGAACCGGTCTTAGACGCGGTCGAGCGGCGGCCTACCGGCGAGCGATCCGGCCGTCGCGAGGCGTGCCGAAGAAGACCGCGAGCGCCGACAAGATGTAACCGTTGAACGGCCTCGGATACATGTCATATATTTCTTCACCATAGCCGGTACCTCGGGCGCATCCTGCGCCGCCTGCGCCGCAGCATGGGGGAGCCGCCGAGGGACGGGAAGAAGAACGACGTCCAGCGCGAGGACGAGATCCGCCGCCTCCAGGAGATGGTCTCGTCCCTCCAGGTCGGCGTCGAGGAACTGAAAAAGAAGCCGCGGAAGGGCTCGCGGAAGCTGAAGCGGCGGCCCAGTCGGGGCGACGAGGCCAAGGACGACGACGAGGCGGCGCCGACGCCCGCGGCCGCGCCGGCGCCCCCGGAGCGCGCGCTGCCGGCCAAGACGAAATACGTGAGCTTCACCGCGCGCGGCCACGGCCGCGTCGAGACGGAGCAGAGCCGCGGCGCCGCGGAAGAGCCGGAGAGCATCGAGGAGCTGACGCACCGGTCGCTGGAGTCGATCCACGACTCGAAGGGCCGCGAGGGCAAGAAGGGCAGCTTCCTCCTGCACAAAGCGCGGAAGCCCAAGCTCGACGAGAAGGTCAACGCGGAGCACGCGCCCTTCCCCAAGCAGCCGCGGAGGCGCGTCTTCCCCGTCCAGGACCCGCGCACGGACGCGCGCTTCGGCTGGGACGTCTGGTTGATGGTGTTGATCTTCTACGTCATGCTCGTGACGCCGTTCCAGATCAGCTTCACGCGCGCGCCGGACGATTTCGTGGACAACTTCACGGCGGGCGACCCGCCGGGCTACAACAAGTACATCGTGCTGGCGGTGCTCAACGGCGTCGTCGACATCATGTTCTTCGCGGATCTCTGCCTCTGCTTCAACACGGCGTTCTTCGAGGACAACGAGTGGGTCGTCTCCCGGCGGCGCATCGCGGTCAACTACGTGTGCTCCTGGTTCCTGCTGGACCTCCTGTCGATTTTACCGTACCAGCTCATCAGCACGAGGAGCGGCTTCCTGAAGATGATCAGGATGGTGCGCCTCATGAAGATGCTCCGGGTCCTCAAGCAGCCGCGCATCATGGCGCGCATCGCCGCGCGGAACACGATGCGCGCGGGCCAGCAGGCCGTCTGCAAGTACATCGCCATCCTGCTCTTCCTGCTGCACTGGACGGCCTGCGCCATCCGCATGATCGCGGCGGTGACGCTCGACGACTGCCACAAGAAGCGCGGCGGCCTCGAGAATTGGCGCCCGGACAGCGACTGCGCGATGACGGTGCTCGCGCGGTTCTGGAACCGGGGCATCTGGGCCCAGTACGTCGACGCGCTGACCTGGGCCCTGGGCACGCTCCAGGGCGACTTCTTCACGACGAACCTCGCCGAGCAGGTGCTCTGCCTCATCGTCGGCCTCGTGGGCTGCATCGTCATGGCGTTCCTCATCGGCGACCTGTGCAACGTCGTCGGCAACATGGACCCCGTGGGCAACGACTACACGATGACGCTGGACATGCTCAACTCCTACCTGGACGAGCAGAACACGCCGCCGGCGCTGCGGATGAAGCTCCGCGAGTACATGGGCCTCGCGGAGAAGACGTTCCGCGACGAGCAGCACAAGCGCATCCTCGAGCGGCTCTCGCCGACCCTCAAGGCCATCGTCGCACACCAGAACCTCGGCCGCGAGGTCGCCCGCATCGGCTTCTACGAGCAGGCCGTGCGCCGCACGTTCCGCCTTTACCCGGGCACGCGCTTCGCGGTCTACCCGAAATCCAAGAATCGGCAGGACCGGCCCGGCCCGCTGCGGCCCTGCGTCATCACGCACGTCGACGACGCCCTGCTCTTCTCCGTGCGCTACGACGACGACCAGTCCGAGGAGCACGACCTCGTGCACTCGCGCGTCGACGTCCACAGCTACGAGCTCGGGTTCGAGTTCGAGCGCGACATCAACCGCTTCATCTACGAGCACGACAACTTCGTGCTCGCCGTGAGCCATTTATTATCGACGAAATTCTTCATGGACCGGGACTTCCTGATCCACCAGAACATGACGCCGAACGAGGAGATGTACGTGATCCAAAACGGGCGCTGCATCTGCTGGGGCGAGAAGCGGCGTCGAGCGACGGGCGCGTGTTTCGCGCGAATGTCGCCCGAAGATGTGAAGACATCCGACCCCGTCGCACGTGGTAGGCGAGAAGTCCATCAACCCCATCCTCTCCTTCAAATTGTTCTCGGCCAAGATGACCATCGGCGAGGACATCTGCATGCTCACGGTCGGCGACAAGAAGCCGCGGCCGCGGCTCTACACCGTGCGCGCGTGCGCGACGACGGAGGTCTACGCGCTCTCCGGCGTCGACTTCGTGGCCTTGATGGACGAGGGCATGTTCTACGCCTTTCCGAAGCACATGCGCGCCTACGGCTGCTGGCAGATGATCCGCTACGACCTGATCAGGCGCTCGCGGGAGCTCGTCGACCACCGCCGCATCGGCGCGGTCTCCGTGTTGGAGATCGTTCCGGAGGCGGCGACGGTCGTGCCGCCGGAGTCCCTGCGCGAGGTCGCCGGGCGCGTGCTCAGCAAGCTCGGCGCCGCGGCGACCGCGCCGCGCGACGCCGTCGCGGGCCGCCTGGCGACGGCCGGCGAGGAGACGATGCGCGCGCTGCACCACCTCGAGAGCGTCCTCGACCATCCGGAGCACCACACGACGGCGACGGCCGTCGCCGTCGCCTCGGGCCTCGAGCCCATCATCTCGCCGAGGAGGACCGTCGGCGGCGCGCCCGAGCCCGTCGGCTTCGGCTGCGCCGGCGACCCGAGCGCGGACTTCTTCGCCGGGGCCATATGCGGCGCGACGAGCCGGGGCTCCTGACGCGCCGTCCCGGTCCTCAACATCCTTGCCTGTCCTCGCCGTCCCCGCCGTCCTCGCCGTCCTCAGCATCTTCTGCCCTCGTCCCGGTCCTCAGAATCGTCGCCGTCCCCGCCGTCCTCGCGCAAGTAGCGCTGTATTCTGGTTGCTGATATTCATTAAAGTCTTACCTAAAGACGGCTGTCGAAGGACGAGCTGGGGCGAAGTTGACAGAAAGTTTGACTTCAACAACGAGAAGCTCTCTCTGATGCTCTCTCTTGGCGCCGAAGCCACAAATCGTGGCCACCGGCGCCGTCGTCCTTCGACGCCGTCGTAGTCGTCGTCTCAACAGCTTCGTCAACTCAACAGCGAGAGAGAGATGTGGGGCCCGCCGCCGCGGCGGCGCTGGGGCCCGCGGCCCTGGGGCCCGCGGCCCCTCTGGGGCCCCGGCGTCGTCGTCGTCGGCGGCCCCGGCTACTACGACCGCCGCGGCTACTACCCGCCGGGCCCGCAGTACGCCGTCGCCCAGCCGCCGCGGCTCCGCGTGACGTTCCACTGCGGCGCGGGCATCGTCGACAAGGGCTGGACGGGCGGGCAGGACGTGCAGTGCGTCGTCTTCGCCTACTACGGCGGCGAGCCCTTCTCGTCGGGCAAGTCGGGCCTCGCGCAGCGCGGCGGCGGCGACCCCGTCTGGACCTACGGCAACTCCGTGTCGCTGCACCTGCCGCACGAGGCGGCCGTCGAGGCCGTGTCGCTCAACGTGCAGGTCCGCTGCGCGAACACGTTCCTCTCCGACGCGGAGGTCGGCATGTGCGCGCTCGAGCGCATCCACGAGATCGCCGACGGCAACCCGCGCGAATTGCCCGTCGCGCCGCACGGCACGCTGACCGTGTCCGTGCAGTGGATCCCCGCGGACGTGCCCGCGCAGCGCGCGCCGCCGGCCCCGTACGCGGCGCCCCACTACGCGTCGCCGCCGCCCGTGCCCGCCTACGGGTCGCCGCCGCCCGTGCGCGCCGTGCCCGCGGGCGCGGAGCCGGAGCTCGCGTCGGCCGTCTACGTCGACGACCACCCGCCGAAGAAGGCCGACGGGCAGCTCTAGATTTTTGTGCTTAGAGCTGGTCCATGACCCAGGTGAGGTGCGCGCGGAGCTGGCGCGCGGCCGCGTAGTCGAGGTCCCGGGGCACGCCGACGCGCCTCCGGAGGTAGTCGAGCGCGGCCTTGGTCGGCTCCGCGGACTCGGCGCCGTCGGCGTCGTTCTTCGCGACGGCGTTGCCGTCGACGCCGTGGAGGAGCGCCGCCGCCGCGTGGCGCAGCGCCGCGTCGACGTCGGCCTCGTGCCAGCGCACGGGGCTCGCGTTGTTCGGGTCCGCCAGCGGCGCCGTCACCGGCGGCACGCCCGGCGGCGCGTGCGCGCGCATCGCGAAGGTCGCGACGGCGTCGCGGTTCTCGACGAGGCGCCGCGCGGCCGCGCGCCGCGCGGCGCCGTCGTCGCGCGCGCCGACGAGGGGCTGGAGCGGCGCCGCGTCGAGCGCGTCCAAAGTCCACTCGCCGCCGTCGAGGGCCGCGCGGAACGGCTCGCCGCCGGCCTCGGGCGAGCAGCCGCCGAGCTGCGGCGGCAGGTCCATCGCGTGCGTGTAGTAGTCGGACTGCGACGCCCGGAACGACGCCCGCGACTCCATGGCGTCGAACCACGCCGCGACGCCCGGGTAGGCCTCGGCGTCGCGGACCCGGAAGCCCTTGTAGTAGAGCAACGACGCCTCCGCGCGCTCGAGGAACGAGCAGAAGAGGAGGTCGACGAGGCTCAGCTCCTCGCCGAGGAAGAAGCCGCCCGCCGTGGACCTCAGGAACCCGTCGACCCGCGACAGCTGGCCCTCGAAGGTCGACCGCGCGCCGCCGCCGACGCCCGGGGGCGCGCGGAGCCAGCCCAGCCACGCGGACCCGAGCTGCCGCTCGAGGCCCATGAGGTCGCGGATGTCGTCGACGCCGCCCGGCGGGAGCAGCGACCTGTCGCCGCCGAACTCGCGCTCCAGCGCGAGCATGATGGACACGCTGTCCGTGATGAGGCGGCCGTCGAGCTCGACGACCGGCAGCAGGCCGCCCGCGTCGCGCTCGAACCACGCGGGCTTCGAGCCGTAGCAGCGCATGTTGATGCGCTCCACCCGGTAGGGGATGCGCTTCTCCTCGAGCTGCATCCAGACCTTCTGGCAGTAGGGGCACCAGCTCGACCCGTCGCGGTACAGGGTGACGCGCGGCTCGTAGCCGTCCTTCTCGTCGAAGAGCCGCAGGTTCGCGGACGCGCTCGGCGGCCCGCGGCCGGACGCGACGAGCGACGCGAAACCGGCCTCCTCAGTCGTCGACTGCGCCTCGAGGCTCGCCGCCAGCGCCTCCCAGGTCGGCGCGCGGTCCAGCACCAGCGCCGAGGGCGGCGCCTTCTGCCGCAACAGATCCGCCGCCTTGCCGACCCAACCCTTGCCGCCGGACAGCGCCGACGCGGCGCAGCCGAGGGTGAGGATGCGCAGCATGAGCATGGCGCTGTCGCCGAGCGCGATCTGCGTGGCGCTGGAGAGCTCGAGAGCGACCGAGCTCGAGCGCGATCGAGCTCGATCGGGTTCGTGTCGGGTGCGTCGCCGGTCCGTGTCGCCACTGTCGGCGCCCGCACACATGAGCCGCAGCCCCCTTTCGAGCTCGTGTGTACTAAAGCTCCCGTGTTTGTTATCTAGAGTCCGCGCGCGTCGAGTTGGGCGAGGACACCGCGGGCCTTCTCGGCGATCTCGACGTTCGTGCCCGCCGCCGCGCGCTCGAGCCAGGGGCGGGCTGCGACGTAGTCCGGGCGCCCGCCAACCATACCGTTCACGTACATAACAGCGATGCCATATATCGCATGGGCGTAGCCCTGCTTCGCTGACAGCAGAAACAGCCGCATGGCCTCGTCGTACTTTCCCTCTTTGCGCACGCCCATTGCGAGATTGCACTGTGCCGCCGCGTCACCCCGATCCACGGCCATGCGATAGAGCTGCCTCGCCTTGTTCAGGTCCATCTTCACGCCGAGTCCGAGACCGTAAAGAGCGCCCAGTGCGTTCATTGCATCTACGTTTCCGAGCTCGACGGCGCGTTTGTAGAGCTTTGCGGCCTTCTTCGCTGATTTCACGAGCCCGAACGCGCCGTCGCGGTAGAAGTGCCCCAAATACAAGATCGCGTCTGGGACTTCGTTCTCCGCGTGGCGACGTATGCCCGCCACGTATGCCTCTTTACTCTTCGGATATGGTGCACGGCACAGAGCGCACGGTTGCTTCCCGTGCTTTTCGTTGCACCGAGTGCAGATCGTCCGAGCGCAACATGGAGTCATTTCGAAGTGGTAGTTCACGTCCCAGTCCTCGTAGCAAATCGGGCATCGCGAGCCTTGGCGCGTGGATAATGGCTCCGGCTCCGGGTTCGCCTCGCGCCGCGCCCGCGCCGCCTCGTGCTCCGCGGCGATGCGCGCGCGGACCTCGTCGGCGTGCGACCGCGGCGCGGGGCCGTAGACGACGTCCCGCGGGGGCGGCGTCGGGGCCTCCGCCTCCGCCGCGCGTTCGTCTCGAATTTTCTTACAGGCCTTCCGGTGGCCCCGCTCGCGCCAGTCGATGCGTTGGCAGGCGACCGTACAATATTGAGCCGTGCCGCAGGGGCATGGGAGCTTCGCTTTCGCCGAGCAAATCGTGCACAGCTTGCGGAGCTTGGCGTTCTTCGCCCGGGCCATTCGCTGTTCATACTCCCGCTTTTTCACCATCCACTCAGGCTCCTTCATCTCGTCGTGCTCGTCTCCCCCCGATAGGACCCCGCACCAAAAATCGC